GCAGGTGTGTCAGAGGAGCACATGCTACATACAGAGAAGGATCATGCAGTGTAAGGGGCAGAGTGGGGGCAGGGCAGGCAAGTGCTGGTCAATCTGAATCAGCAGTTGGGGAATCCCTTGTGGCTAAGTGAGCAGAATACCTGTAAATGACTCCCTGGCTCCAGGACCAATCTGGGAGCAGAAGGGGACCCAAGTGTAGCATGTCTCATTTCATCTGTGGTTTTTCTCTATTTCCCTCTCTGCCCCCACAAAACATAGAGACAGACAAAAATCCCAACTGCTGAGACTCTCCAGATCATAGAGACTGCAGGAGTCCATCTGTGATATAGCCCAACGTCACTGCCACCAGAAAGCATATCTGAAGCCTAAAAAGAGCTAACACTCTCAGGGGCCTAGGATCTAAGAAAGCTCGACCCACTATCATCCTTCCTGTGATTTCATTGTAAGGACATAACCACCTACTTTTTCTTCAGAGGATTTCTTTTGGATTTGTGGAAACAGGTACTCCCAGGGAACCAAAATGTCAGGAGGAGCATGGGGATGGGCCTATGGATCTTCAGACTCTGTTTACTGTAGCCTTGTATACAGCAAGAGCAGAGCAGGCTTTTAAATGAACGCTTTTGACAGCCCAGTATGAAATCACTGTCAGCCATGATGTGGTTAAGACTGAGGTAATGGGGTATAATGGGAATGTGCTCTGGAGTGGCCCAGAACTTCCCAAACCACAAGTGTGGCCACTTGGATAAGGACTCCATCTGGACACCAATATGAGTGGAACCTCTGGCCATATGGCTCAGTTGGTTGAAGTATAGTTCCTTGAACTGAAAGGCTGCTGGTTTGATTCCTGGACAGGGTACATGCCTAGGTTGCAGGTATTATCCCCAGTTGGAACATGTATGGGAGGCAACCAATCAATGTTTTTCTCTCACTTCCTTTCTCTCTAAAATCGATCAATAAACTTTAAAAAACAAAACAAAACAACACCAACTCAGAGCTCCAACTATTCAGTGCTTGAGTTTGGTTGTACCACACGCCACACTTAGAGCCCTACTAGACTTCCATTCCACCAGACACGTGCTGCCACTGTAGCCACCTAACTTGAGACCAATGCCCGCCTCTCCATCTGCAGCATTTGACAGTGACCAGGACTTTGCTCCAAAAACTTGTTCTGCTTGCTTCTATCAGGTAAACCCCCACCCCACCTGTGTAGGACTCTACAGGATTACTGGGGAGGTCTTCCCTAGTAAACCTGGCATTATGAAGAAACACAAATGTGTGTGGCTGGCTCCTTTTGAGGACATTCCCTTGCTCACAACAGGCCTTGTCCAAGAACTGTCATAAAAACCACAGTATGAAGCAGCCACAAGCGAAGGCCGCTTCAACCATGCCCCTGCCTCCAGCTTCCAAACTGAGGTCACTTTTGAAGTTACTCCTCTTAGATGAAGGGAGCTGAATCACAGGGTCATAGCAGTCTTACTCACGGTAATGACAAGGATAAACCCCATGAAGACAAACCCTATCCCTCAGGAAGAGGTGGGCCTACTGGCCTTTGAAGAGGATGAGTATAATGTCTACAGACCACCCCTCAGGGTTTCCTCTAAGAACAGTGTGAAGGAAACCCTGGATGTTACAGCTTGTGATACGTACAGTACATGTACAATTCTCAGACCATAGCACTCACCATGTCCTTGAAAGACTTGTTAAAACAGAGGGCAAGCATCCACCCTCAGCCTTTCTGATTCCGTGTGCAGTCTTAAAAGGTTCCCAGGTGATGCTCACGGTACTGGTTTAAGAATACAGTTTGAGAACTATTTAATCTAGCACAAAAGAAAATGAACTTTACTATCATGTAAGCTTGGGGTAACCCTGAGCTGTTGTGTAGTCTCCTCAGAGTGTGACAAGCACAGGGAGAAGGATCCTGTGTGAGATGGAGAGAAGGGTTGGTGTGAGAAGGCCCCAGCCTGAGGGTCAGGGTGTCATTTCTTGCTGGGTGGCCTCAGATACCACAGGAGCCCTTGGCTCTTCTGCACAGAATACCCTCAACCACAAAGATGTTAACTGGTCCCTTCTCAGGCTCCTTCCAGCTTGGAAGTTTAGGGATTCTGGGGTCTGCTGTGGGCAGGATCCTGAGGAGCCCCTGAGGAAGAGGAGCCTGTCTGCAATGCAGCTGCCCACACTCCCCAAAGAGTCCAGGCAGGAAGACTTCGTGCCAAAAGAACACCAGGAAACTACCAAATGCGGCATGAGGACTCTCGCCAAGAGTCGTGGGCCCTTTCTTCACTGTTCACAAATGTATAACTTGTATCACGATTCTTCTGCAAAAATCTAAAAATATGTTGCTCTTGGTAACATGGATCTGTATCCGAAGAAAAGAGAGTTTATGAGAGAAAACAGCAGAACAAGTTCAACCACATGTCACCAGAAATGGTGGCTCTGAGCCTCTGCACTCTGCCATCCCAAGATCCTCGGACCATAAACTGAAGTGCACTTTCAGGTCACAACTGCCACCAGGTACATCTTCCCAAGCATTCTATTATTAATTGCCATTTAAGCTGAGAAAGCTCCTGTAGCACTGAGGGCCGAGCTCCATTAGATGGCATCTTCAGTGTTAAAATTTGTCTGCCTCCATGAGGAAAATGTCTGGCTTCATCTTGGGTAGTACCCACCCCCCCACCCCTCAAAATCACAAAGCTACCTTACTGAGGAAAAAAACAAAACAAAACAAAAAACAACAAAGCAATGCAAATCCACACATGTCTTGAGGCAAATATGTACACACTGCTCATACCAACGACACCAGATCCAGTTTAGTCCACTTGAGTCTCTGTTCCCCTCAATTAAAGAAAAACAGTGCAAACCAGCCCAGAAAAGCCCTGTGTTAGAAGGTAAGCAGGAGGCCTGCAGCAGGCCCTGGACCAGGTGCCCACTGGGCCCACTCACAGTCATTTTCAAGGTGGGGGCTGACTCTGGGTGCCTCCAATTTGGCCTTGAGTAAGAAGCCCTTCTGGGCAGGCCCAGCCCCAATTCCACCTTGTGTAGATCCAGGCCAGTGGGGATAGCAGTTTGGGGGTCCTGAGGACCCAGCCTGAAGGCAGAGAAATCAGGATGGAGGGGCTACATGGACTTCAGCACAAGAGCGAGGGACAGGTGGGCCTCTCCCTCATCCTGTGCCCACAGCTATGAAATCATCTTGCAAGGGCATTCCATACAGAAATCTAGGAACCCTGACACTATCAAGGGTGGTTTGGCCATTCACTGTGAAAGTGGCCCAACAATTGAGACTCTTAGCCACCAAAGTGGGTGTTCCCATGTTTCCCAGGGCACATTGCCTCACTGGCTGCATCTCCTCATGGGCACAGCAGCACTCGGCCATCCCAAGCTGAACCCAGACTGTCCATAGGCCTCACAGATGCATGAACCTCCCATGTGTGCTCAGACCAAGCTCAAGCCTCAGCCTGCCTGTGGCTCTATGCTGCACCTCCTACCTATTCTTACATACAGCAAGAGACATTGGGGGACATAGCAAGCAGGATAAAATGCATGGACACAAATGCCTAGACATCAGGGTCTCAGAGGCCTGCCTGTTTATAATGATGAACATCTAAGCATGCCTATGTTCATTAACTACTTCACATTAAACCTCACTAATCTCATGTGGAAAACACACTAACCTCACACCCCACCGAACCCAGGGCATCATCAGAGATGCAGGCATGAACTAATATAGCAGCAGGAAGCTCCGGGAGAGAATGGGCAAGAAGGAGTCCCAGAACTTCTGTTCATTCCCAAGTGTTAGGACAGAAGGGGCCTCGTGGGAAAGCAGCGAGAAGCAGATTCAAGGACTAGTAATGGGACTGCGAGAGGTAACCCCTGAGCACTGAGGCCTGGGGCTGAGAGTCAGACTGGTTAATATGGATGACCAGCTACATGGACATCCAGAGAAACAGGGAGAGAAGCCCAAGAAACAACAGGATTAAAAAACAGTGATGACAGGGTGGTGTTACCCCATGAGCAGGCAAGCACCGTTATCCCACCTCACTACAACTGCACAAGATGCTCTTGTTCCTACTGTAGAGATTAGGAAACTACATCTCAGGGCAGGTAGTTGACTTGTTCATAGTCATAAAGGGACACATGACAAAGCATGAGCTTGAACCTTTCGGTCTGATTTCAGGTCTATGCTCACTGGGCAGCCTTACAATGCAGGATAGGAAGTGTGCACCCCAGAGTCCAGTGTCTCCCTCCCACTGCAGGTCAGGAAGTATACTCCTCAGAGCCTACTGTCACTCTACACTGAAAGACAGAAGGTATGTACCAGACCCCAGTATCACCCCACACCACAGGACAAGAAGTGCATACCGCAGAGCCCAGTGTTACAAGCACTTTAATAAGATAAAAGGATTTTTGAGTTACGTCCCATTTTCCTATTCACATTGAGAACAAGCCAAACTAGAATTTAAATTATCCAGCAGCGTTATCAGTCAGGATAACTCAAATACAGTTAAATGTCAGGTCTGGTCTTAATGAAACCATGACAGGAATCCTGTGGTCCTGAGGGACAGAAGTATGGGGCCAAATCAAGATCATCTCAAAAATAAACCTATTATTTAAATACTAACTTTGGTCCCCAAATAATAGATACATCCTTGAAACAAAGCAAGACCTCTTTGGCAAGATCACTGCTCTCCCATCTGACCCACCAGACAGTGCTGTCTCCACTGCTGGCTGCCGAGAGAGGCCCAACAAAGACAAGGCCAAGAAAACACAAAACTCTGCTGCGGGCAAGGAGACATTCTCAGCCCTTACACCTGTTTAGACACAGTGAATATACTGAGGATAGGTGAGCGTGAGGAGGAAAGTCAGCAAGGATGAGGAGAGGGGAGGAAGGTAAAGAGGAGAAGAGAGTAAGGATAAGAGGAAGAAAAGGAGGAAGAACAGGAAGTGAGGAAGAGGAGGAGGAGGAGGAAAAAAAAGAGGAGAATAGCTGAGCCAAGTGTTACCTTTTTCCCTGTTTGTTTCTCCACCATGTCGTTGCTGAGAGAAAATTCTTCTTGCTGTGGTGTTTTAGAACACCCACCCTTGGGCATCGTTCTTCTCCCCTCACTTGATCTTCATTTATACGGCCATCGCTTCATCATCAACAGTCTGCTTCAAAAGAGAGGAAGGGGGTTAAAATTCATTGAACTCAACCAAAACTGAGACAATCTTAAACTCATGTGACAGAATGAACCAAAAGAATATAACCAGCTCTTCTAACCAGCGCCCAGGAAGAGGCCACTTAGGATGCACCCAGGCAGTCAACACCAGCAGGAACAACATCTACACTACATTATGGAGAACACAGTGGGGGCAAACAGGTATTGCTCAGCTGCCAAAAGGATCAACTTACAAAAGTGACGGCCATGCTTCCGGGCAGTGTTGGCCAGTACCTGAACCTCTCTCTGATTGCATTCGGGGTTCCAGCAGCTCTAGCCCTGGTCTTCAGGGTTGGGCACCACACATGCTCTTTGTCCCCCACCACACCCCGCCACTCCTTCCCACATGGGCATGGTCACACCCAAAGTGCAGTACTTGCACCTCAGGTCCTACAGATCTTGTCTGCCACCCTCTGGGCCATGGTCTGAACACCAGTTACCACCTAGGAAAGCAGCTCAATTCCCACATTGCTCCCCCAGACAGAAGGTTAGATGAGATTCATTATTCTTTTCAGAAAGCATCAAGCACACCCACTTTACCAACTTGTCCCGAATAAAATGTTCAGAAGGCAGTAATGTGACACCCCTGAAGGAGTTTCAGAGAATGTCCAGGCAACTTTAATGTGGGACTCCTCCCATTACTGAGCCAGACGCCCTAGCCCCAGCATTTCCCAGGAAATCCCAGAACACATGCTATAGTCATCCTGTTTTTATTTTCTCATATGTTGACACCTTAAAACGTTTGCTAAACAGGAGAGAGTGCCTCTCCCAGGACTAGCCCTTTCTCAGAGACAGCAGAGGGTTCCTGAAGTGGGCATGCCTTTCACACACAAAACTATCAATCAGCAGCTAGCTTATACACAAGTGAATTGTTTCCCCAGCCACCAGGAAATACAGATCACCCTATAACCCAGTTTGCAGAATTATTCAAATTAGCCAATCCTAAACTGCTCACCCCGCCGTGTCTTGCCTTCCTGAAGAAACCCCAACAAAAATCTGGCCAAGAATTCCCTCTTGCTCCTGACCATCGTGGTGCTTTCCCTGGTGGCTCTGTGTGGCACACAGTACCACTCTCTGGGACCTATGTGAAGAACCAACATCCTATCACAGCTCCACCTGTGGCCACACTGACCTGACCAGACATGCCTGATATAGACATTCCTACAATATAGGCGGCTTCTCTCTTCACTTCCCAGTTCTCCTATGCTTGTTCCACACTTCACATCCGGAGTTTTAGCTGCATATAGCGGGAGGAACAGAGAAAAAGTCTATCTTCCTAAAAGCCACTGCCTTCCTTTTCGTGTGTTATTTTCACTGAGTTAGAAAACACTTTATAGAAACCAAATCACATGCACTGTTTCACCTCCTTTTCCCACAGTCGCATGCCGTTGTGCTTCCCATTTTGGATGAGTAATTTTTATAATTAACTCACCTAGAATTAACAGCCTCTTTAAGTATGAAGTGTAGCTTTTGAAACACATGTTCAAAAGCCTTCTGTAAGTGGCAGTTCCCCACTCTTGCTGCTCCTGAAGTGCTGAAGATCAACTGCTCTTCACTGTATCTTCTAGAGATCTGTCTTATTTTTTTATATTAAGTGATAAAATTTTACAAAGTATCCTCTTGCTGCTTAACTGACCTAAGAACTCATCTAAGTTTATTTTGGTGAGAGGAACATAGCTGACCATTTTACTCACTTTCTTCCCCGGCGCATAATTCAGGTGAACAGGGCATTTCTATCCACATGCTCTGATGGCTAAGGCCAGAAATGACATTTTCCATCTCTACTTGAAACTGAATTCTAAATTTTCACCCTGATTGGTGTGGCTCAGTGGGTTGGGCATCGTCCCACAAATGGAAAGGTCTCTGGATTAATTCCCAGTCAGGGCACCAGCAGGCCAGGTCCCTGGCTGGGAGCATGTAGGAGGCAGCCGATTGATGTTTCTCTCCCTCTCTTTCTCCCTCCCTTCCCTGCTCTCTAAAAATAAATAAATAAAACTTTAAATTCTCCTCCAATTTCCCACTACAGAACTCGAACATCTCAGCCTAGAGGAATGGCATTGTAGAGCTTGACTCTGGAACAGCTATTAAAACTTATTACTACCTGGAAACCCATCAGCAACATTTCAGTACAAAGATTATCCAGAAGTTAAATTTTAAAAAAATATCCTGCCTGCCTGCTCTCATGATGGAAAAACTGAGCAACATAACCATGGGATATTCAACCCTCCAGCTCCTGGGTGTGAACGCACGAGTCTGTGGGGTATGTGTGGCAAACACCTGGAACAGCTTAGGTGTGGTTGCAATGTAGACCCCCCCTCCCCGTTCCTGGACTTGGATCTCACTGCTCACTTCACAGCATCTTGACCAGGAGAGTGCGTGGAGAATCACTTCATTCTTCAAACAACTGATCTCAGTATCCCTGAGTTGACTCTGCTGGTGCTCTCTATATTGAAAGTGGGATTTTGAGGCCCTTTAACTAACCTGCGAAGAAAACCTGCCTCCTTCTCCCACTCCCACCTTCCTGTCCTCGGAAAGGCACAGCAGCTACCAGAGGACATGAAGAGAATACAATGTTTCCAGAATAACAGCCCCCAACCTCCAAAGTTTAATTATCTTTAAAAACAACCACAGAAGCTGCAAGACCAGGGGAAGGGTGATTACTGAGTTCTGTCTGAGCTTACTCATTTAGGATTTTTTCCATTTTCAAAGCACCCTCAGAAATCAGGGCGTGAAATGTTTTACAAGCAGGCATTATAGCTACTTTGAGTTCTGATATGACATCGAGATACACTGGGAAAGAGCTCTGCTCACCATGGCCCAAGACCTGTGATGGCGATGAAATCTCAAAGTAGAGGTTAAGCCTACAAAGTGGTGGCCCTTAAAGGTGTACCAATCATTCCTGGGTACTGTGTAACCATGAAGTGGACCACCAATGTAGGCTGTCATGGCTGTCATTGTTGGTGTTAAAATTAAAGCACTGAAACCTCTGGATGCAAGTCTTTAGGTCCAATTCCTCTGATCTAGACTTTGACACATGATCCTCTGCTACAGGCAGCTGCCCCTTGCTACCAGAAGACACTCACTAGTACTTTCATTTTGTGAACAACCAACCAGCTAAATCTGTATGATCTATCATAGAGTGAGGGCAGGTCCAAACCTCACCAGGACAGCCTGAGGAACATTATGTGCTGGCAGCTGGCCAAACATGCTATATAGCCTGTGCTGGCCCGTGGGCCTCACTCACATCTCAAAAAGCCACTATCTTTAAAGGCTCCACCCCACCTCTCCCACCAGTATTGCAGACACCGCAAGTGCGGCAGGAATGACATCCCAAACACTGTTTTCTTTTCTATGACAAGTATTTCTCAGGCCTACCTTCATGATGACAGCCAAGACCATCTAGGCACCTCAGGATCCTCGTGTTTGGGTGTGATGCTTGTTACAAATGCCTCAATATTTAGTACTAATTAGGAAAACCAGGACTTGGTGTGTGTCCCAGCAATTTAGACTCATCTCTTTAGGAGCCGTCATTGAAACAAAGAGTTCAAGAAAGCTGTTAGTGACAAAGAGACAGAGGTCAGATTTGCTAGACGCACGAGGTGATCCATCCCATTCTTCACATGACCCATTTGGTGAGTTCCCTGGCCAACCCTAATTTTGTTACCTCCTCATGGCAAATTATTGGGTTGGCCAAAAAGTCGGTTATGTTTTTTCCATAAAATAAAAGACACATTTTTCATTTTCACCAATAACTTCATTGATTTGACTCAATAAAGACTCAGACGATATTCTGAGTATGTCGTCTATCTCCCACTATTAGCATCTAGTGGGTAGAGACCAGTGGTGCTGCTAAACATCTTGTAATGCATAAGGCAGCCCCACAGCAAAGAATTATTTGGCCAAAATGTCAACGGTACCAAGAAATTTCACAAACCACTTTTGACACATTCAATCAGAGTGCCTTCTCCATACATTACACAAATCTTTTTTTTTTGCATTTCAGTTGTTTTTATCTTCCTCGAAATAATAAAGCATAATATGCCAAAAATGTTATGTATCTTCTTCCATGTTCATTAGTAAAATGGCTGCACAAAAATTCACCAATTTTGATGTTTTTTTTTAATTTATGCTGATATGACAGCTGTCACAATACAATTTTAACAAAATTGCTTTGATTGAAGTTAGAAAACTAAGCACTACTAGAGCCATTGTATGGAAAAAACATAACAGACATTGTGGCCAACGCAATAGATGAAAATAAAAACTCAAATGCTTGGTCATCCTGGCAATCCCAGAGGCTCCACACCGGCTTGTGCCCTTCTACCTGGTCAGCCTCTCCCTTGGCTGCAGATATGGCCATGCTAGCCAAGGGAATGATGCAGACAAAGGGGGACCACCAGCAACTTTTGTCAGCACTGTGAGGCCTCCATGTCAGGAGCCAGGCTCTAGAGCACTGCTGTGAAGCCTGGGCCTCCCCACTCACTGCTGGGCAAATACTATTAAACTCAGGAAGAGGTTGGGACCACCTGGCAGTTGGTCACCGTGGAGACAGTTTTCATGGCCGGCAATCCTCCCTTCTACACAGTTCAGAGGCTGTCTGAACCCAGGCCCTGGGGGTTTTTGATCAACACACTCCACAGCTGACCACAACCCAACAGGTGACCAATAAGCCTCACCCTGGAAGATAGATCATCTTCTTCCTGGAGGTGACCTGGCTGTCCCTGCACAGAAACACTGTAAGTGCAGCTTGAATCTCCTTGTTTCCAGTATCAGAAGAAGTCTATTGTAAATTCCAGAGACAGTATAATCCACATCAAAACAAAACACTCCACAGCACACTGGGACACAAACACAGACTTGACACTGAGCGCCTGGGAAATGTCTGCAGCACAGTACAAAGGTGGCCGAGGACAACACAGCTGGCCTGAGCCCTGCTTTGGCCACTGACCAGTT